GTAAACAATGTACAAATCTTTACTGTCACTTTTGATCAACTTAATGCATCCTTGCTGAAGAATTAATTTCTTTCAAAAACTATTGTCTAAAAAAAATAAATTTTTACATTCATCCAATTTAAAGCACCACCGCTATAGTCAAACACATTCAGATAGATGCGTTTAGGCGTTGCATCATCCTTTGTGATGTTTTTTGAACGCCCTGCCATGAACATTGTTTTTAACACTGTATAAAATTTAAAATAACTTGTCTAATTAAAGTATCATTTAAAATCATGTGTCAAGCCCCACCACCCCCTAAAAGCCCAAGGAAAATTTCATTCCTCATTATGTGACATTAATATACAGCAGGGGTCAGTAACCTTTTTGACCTGAAGGGGCATTTTAAATTTTTCTTGTTAATCTTTTATGCCACAGTGTTCATTTAGTGTCATTAGATGATCACAGAGGTGAATCAATCAGCAGTAGGTCAAATGGATCATTTGATAAGTAACAAATTATAGCCTGATTTTTATCTCGAGTAAGAATACATCAGGATTCAGAGTTTTAATGGCTCATTACTGAAATGTTTCTCAGTACATGTGGTGTGTGAGCTTTGCGTCCGCAGCATTTATTAGCATGAGAGCACTTCGGCACGCTGGAGTTTGAAGAGTGCTCTCTCAATAGGGCTGTTTTATGCATTTGTCTCTCAAACGCTCTCGTTCTGTAATTTTATCGTCTTCTTAAGAGGATATTAAAACTATATTTACAGGCTCTATGCAACACTCTATGCATGCTGTGCAAACACAGCATGTTTTTCTCGCCTCTATTGGAGAGCTAATGTCATGTCACTCTCATTTCACTCTCTCAACGGTCTTTACTAACTGAGCTGAATGACCAGATGTGTCATAAAAGAATTCAATTAAATGAATGTGAATCTTTTTAGCATTCTCCATTTCTCTTTCTCGCACAGGGCATCACGTTTGAAGAAGTGGAGAACTTCTTCACCTTCCTGAAGAACGTCAATGACGTTGACACTGCATTGAGTTTCTATCACATGGCTGGCGCCTCTATAGATAAAGGTACAGACATGCACACACCCTCACAAAGTTCCTTGTAAACATTTAGTGTGGAAGCCGAGTAAAGTTGTGTTGCAGTCAAGCAATCAGTTTTGTGTGAGATATACGTCAGTGGGCAGTTCGTGGGCATGTTGTCTGACTCTGAGACTGCTACAAGACTGACTTTGCAATGCAAGAATTCCCAGGATGTTGCATCACCTGTTCCTGGTCTCCTCCCTCTCGCTCACTCCCACCATCAGCAGAGCCACTGCAGCTGGCGCTCTTCCCAGCAGTACTTGAGTAATCTTCTCTCCCGCTGGCTCTTCACATGCACACAGTCCTCTCTCTCTGTTACCTGGACATTTTCAGGCAATGCAGAAAGTCTCTTAAGTATCATTAGATGTCCTTCTCATTTAAATACAATCACTTTTCCAGTCCTTCAGCTTGTATTTGATTTCTGTTCAGGGTTACAGTTTTTACAGCTTGTGTGCAGAGACGGCTTACAATGTTTTTGAAGAGGACAATGAAAAATTTAGTTGTGCTTGCTCGTGCAATGCTAGCTGCAATGATGATAAGATCTATGTGGCATTGCTACAATGTTCTGGGTTATAGAGTGCATTAGTGCCCGCCCACTTTTTCAGCGGTGCTGGCTCCGGAATTATTTTTCCCAGATTTTTTGTTTGAGTTTTAAGCCGACTGACTACGAGGAGAATCACAACAGTAAAAACTTTCATTTGAAGCAAATAAAATAAAATAAATTGGAAATTGGATAAAAAGGCAAAGGTACAAGACTGTGTACTTAACGACTTTAATGAGCAAAAGAACTACAATCCCATGAAGCATTGCGAATGACAAAATAAAAACAAGAGAAATCTAAAACTATTGATTTAACGTTGTTGGTTATAACTGTAGGAACTGTATTTTACATATACATATTTTAGTATTTTGAGCACATATGGAGACAACTTGATTGTGGGCGGAGCTAAAGATCTCTTGGTGCACTTTATGATTGGTGGAATTTTTTGTACAGCATCATTGGTAATGTTTTTTTTTTTTTTTACCAAGAATTCCACTATTAATCACAATTATTAAAAAAAAAAAGTTTTTGAATTAATGAATTAACTAAAATTAACTAAAAAAAAAAAAAATGAACTAAAGCGCATACAATCAATTAACAGCCTCAGAGCTCACAACAGATCTGTTTTTCAGTTATTGTTAAAAAACAATTTCCCTATGGAGAAAATGAATGGAGTTTTTACTTCCGGAACCTGACTGTTGCGATCTATTGCCAATTGGTTGAAGTAAAATAAATAAATAAAAATTTTAAATCCAACCCCAAGTCTCTGTAATATATTCTGGTCTCTAGATAGGGTTTAGCTACCTGCTTCAGAACGAGTCTAGGGTTTTCTTTTACCTAGTTTATCATTCCAAAAGCTGCACAAATGGCACAAGTTATCAATAAAGTGTAAAGGTGCAGACATGTTTCCAAAAGCAGTCGGAAATCATTAGTTGTGAGTGACAGTTGGTGATCTGAGGTAAAAATAAACGTGGTACTGCGTTGAGACCAGTGTCTCTGCTCTTCACAGCATGTGGCACTACATCAGGGCTAGAGGTCGACCGATGTATCGGTTTTGCCGATTAATCGGCACCGATAGTTGATTGCTGGAACTATCGGATATCGTCAAAAAACCATGCCGATAGTTTTCCCGGGTTGCGTCCATTGCTGGAGCGGCTGAGAAGGGTCTGCTGTCATTATACACTGTGTAAGTATTGTTCCTTGTTAGAGTGTGTTAATTTCAACATTTATTATTACTATTATTATTATTATTTTTACTACTACTAGTAGTATGGTTCAGTACTGGTTTTGTTAATAAAGCACTATTTTAGTTTTTGTTCAGTATCAATTTTAAAACAATCGGTTAATTAATCGGTATCGGCCAGTGTGGTCCAACCTAGCTATCGGTATCGGCAAAATCCACTATTGGTCGACCTCTAATCAGGGCTGCCCTCTGTACATCCACACACTTCCTCACAGGCCATATGTGACCCTGGAGCACAAAACCAGGCTTAAGTCGCTGGGGTATATTTGTAGCAATAGCCAAAAATACATTGTATGGGTCAAAATTATTGATTTTTCTTTTATGCCAAAAATCATTAGTATATTAAGTAAAGATCATGTTCCATGAAGATATTTTATAAATTTCCTACCGTAAATATCTCAAAACTTAATTTTTGTTTGGTAATATGCATTGCTAAGAACTTCATTTGGACAACTTTAAAGGTGATTTTCTCAATATTTAGATTTTTTTGTACCCTAAGATTCCAGATTTTCAAATAGTTGTATCTCGGCCAAATATTGTCCTATCCTAACAAACCATACATCAGTGGAAAGCTTATCTATTCAGCTTTCAGATCATGTATACATCTCAATTTCGAAAAAATTGACCCTTATGTGACTGGTTTTGTGGTCTAGGGTCACATATCTCACGATTGATTCCTCTCGCTGTAGGATTATAACTCCGTGTCTCTTTCATTTCTCTGTCCATCTCTCTGATCTCTAGCCCATAATATCCAGAAACTCTGACCCTAAGAAGACAAAAGAGGCTTTTTATGAGCTTGTCATCTTCAGAATCGCTCTCTCTCTCTCGTCTGTATTCTGATCTCAAGGCTGTCTGGAAGACTGACTGTGGTGGATGCTTTTTTGCCTGTCTGGATTCTCCCTCACCCTTCCTGTTCCTGTGTCCACTAATGAATGACCTTCTTTTATGTTCCCAACAGGCAGTTTTCTCACTCTTTCACTATAAGAGATGTGCAGAACAACATATATTCACAATTATAAACAGAATTGTTGGTTGGTAGTAGGTTGTCTTAAGGTGGTTGTTGTACTTAATCTTTGATGATAATTGAAGGTATTGTACAAGATTTTTTTTAAATTATTTATTTATATATATATACATATATTTAACGTGTTCCTACACCTAGTAAGCTGACTTGTTCTTGTACCTTTCAGTCTAACTGAAATGTAACCGCAAAGTCACTGATTTGGAACGTTCTACGTAGGCAGCATGTATGTAAAGAAAACAGAAAAAAGAATAGTGGCAATACTTAAAGAATAAATATATATGGCACAAAATCAAATTATAAAATCAAATTGTTATTTTAGTATTATTTATATTGCACTTATGCATTTAAGCATTTGGCAGACACTTTTATATAAGCAACTTAAATTGCATTGAAGGTATACATTTTATCAGTTCATGCAATGAACCCTTGACTTTAGTGTTGATAGCTCAATGCTCTACTGTTTAAGCTACAGGAATATTATATAGTATTATAGTACAGGTGCATCTCAATTATTATTAGTCTCAAAAAAATTAGAATGTCGTGGAAAAGTTCATTTATTTCAGTAATTCAACTCAAATTGTGAAACTCGTGTATTAAATAAATTCTAGTGAATTGGTGGGTTTTTGTTAAATGTGAGCCAAAATCATCACAATTAAAAGAACCAAAGACTTAAACTACTTCAGTCTGTGTGCATTGAATTTATTTAATACACGAGTTTCACAATTTGAGTTGAATTACTGAAATAAATGAACTTTTCCACGACATTCTAATTTATTGAGATGCACCTGTATGTATTCATATTTTGAATTAGCTCCTATAATTTTTGTTTTATTTTCAGTTTAGTTTTAGTAATTTTATGTGCTTTTGTCATTTTGTTAAATTTTTTTTAAATCAGTTTCTATTTAATATTCTATTTATTTTTATTTCAGTTTTAGTATTTTTTATTACGTCCTAAACTTTTTTTCAGTTACTTGTCAAGGCAGCATTTCTGATTTTCATTTTTTTTTAAACGTTAGGTTAGTTTTAGTTCCCTTTCAGTCGGTCACTACGAGTCGCGTCGTGACCGACGAATTGCGAGATCCCAATTCGTCGGGACGTCTCCGTTCCCTCCTTCAGGGAACGAGGGTTACATACGTAACCGAGACGTTTTTAGTTAATAACAACAACACTGGATTTAATTATTTTAAATAATTGTATATTTATAGTTGATCCTTTTTTGAGTAGTTTTAGAATAGAGCCCACTTCCTCACTATCACTTCTGTCTCTGTGCAGCACAAGACTCTGTCAAGGTCAGGGGAGCAGCTCAGGCTTGTATAAGAAACCCTGTCTGTCTAGGTTTACTGATATGGAGGATGGAGTTTTAGAGAAAGGAAGTGTGGTTGAAAAGTGTGTAGAAAACATGAACTGCATTTAGCATATTTTATTAATGATGTGTTAACAGTCATTTTTGACTATATCAATGTGTTGTGAGAAATAACAATGACATGATTCATCTGAAGTGTGTTGAGTGGAATGTTAACATTGGCCAGTGTGATCTGCAACCTGAAGACATTTTGTGCGGATTTATATTTTGGTTTTTCCTCTAAAGGTCATTAATTAGAGATGGACACCCCACCTCCTCCTAGATTTGATCTTTATCCTGCAGTTGGTTCACCCTCCTCTTCTGTTTCTATCCTCTTCTGTGTTCTTGTCCTATCTGGTGAGATGTCCTCTGTGTGTATTGATCAAGCCCATCAAGACACCGGCCAGTATCCAGTACTCAAGCTCAGGCACACTGTTGGTGAAGCTCCAGTTCCCTCTTCATTCATCACTCTACTCCTCTTGTTCTCTTATTCTCTCTACAGCCACCATGAAGCAGGTGGCCCGCACCGTGGCCAAGGTAGAGCTGTCCGACCACGTGTGTGACGTGGTGTTTGCACTCTTCGACTCTGACGGTGAGTATTAAAGCAATAAGCCCCAAGAAGCTGTGGTTTACAGTGAATTTATAACAACGCCCCTTAGCTGTTATAAATTCACTGTAAACCACAGCTTCTTGGGGC